TAGATAATTCCCTTAAACTCTGTAACTCTACTCGTAATTTTTAGCGTAAACTTAGAGCCAAATTATTTGCTGCTTCCCTATCTTATCGGTCTTAGTTTATGTCATATCTATTTTATTTTATTTTTTAAAGTTTCTGTTTCAGTTGTAATTCTAGTGAATATTTATTAACATTTTAGCTTGCTTATTTTTTCTATAAAACATTTTATTATTGGAATTTTGTAATTTTTAGATTTACTCCCCTTTTGACGTATTATCAGTGTCACTGAAAAGCCCTCTTTAGGGAGTGTCAATAAAAATTGTATTTAAATTTACATGACGGCCGAGAAGGCTGTCATGTAGATTAAACTGAAGTCACTTATTTCGAGAAATTTTGCTACTTTAATGTTTATGAGTTCCTCGAGAGAGAAATTCACGCCTTCGTTGCAAAACTCAGTAACAGATGTTTCTATTAATTTTCGGCCGCCCTGTTGGTGCCCATCCGGATGGGCACCTGCATGATGTCTCCATGCAAATGTCATTAAATCTGAGTAAAACATTTCTCCGGATGGTCTCGTATATGAAAAATTGCACTGCCCTGAATCTTGGCGAGGGTATTTGCGTATCTCATTTCCAAGATTCTGGACTTTATCGATTGAATGGCTTTGATTTTGATCCATGTTTAGATCAGCGCGTGAAACTCAAACCCAGCAATAGTATTTCTTTCTCTCTTATCTTTGAACAGCCCACAGTTGACAAGCCATGTTCTCGACATTGTATTTTTTTCCATTAGAGAGATCATTTTCTTATCTCCAGTTACTGCTGAACGCTTTTCCTTTTGCTAACTTGATAGTTGAAATTCGCCGGAAAATGTATCATTTAAAAATAACCTGGCCTGTCTGGTGAAAACTCCGCTGCACAACGTTTCATGGGCCCAGATCAATGACCAAGAGGGTTACTCGCTCCGGGGCCCCTTCTCCGATTTTTTCTGAGGGGAGGGGGTATGTACACAGGCGCGTACCGAGCTTTGCCCTGTAATTCGATAAAACGGATTTGGAATGACAAACGATGCAACTCATCTAAAGTTCTCAAAGTCTTCTTTATTCTTGCCAGTTCTTAGCCTGTTCTAGGCTTCCAATGAGGCCGGATTACCGAGAAATAAGCTATAGCGCAAGGAAAAAGGAAAAGAAAAAGCAGGCTAGCAAGTTTTAAATAGTTACATACACATTGGCGAAAGAGGGTTTTACGTCTAACAATAAAGAAAAATAAACTTGTTTCTCGAGGAAAAAAAATTACTTCGGTGGGAAACCACGGTACATCGTACTTCAAGATACGAATTCACTGATTAACCTGTTTAAATCTTGCAATCCCTACTGGACCCATATTAGTGGAACGGTCCTCATTTAGGTCTTAATAGTGATTCTAAAGATTCTGAATAGTGAATGTCTGCTAATTATCTGGTCCCTGAATCACCAAGATTTTACATCTTGCAATTAAAAAACCAAAATAAGTCTAATGACCCGGCTAATCTATCGCCGGCGTATACTTCACGATACATTTCGACTGATCAACCTGTTCAAGGCTTTCTATTCCTATTGAACTTATTGAATTGATGGCATCAAGGTTTAAAAAGCCCAACGTGTTGTTGTGATTCGTAAGAGAGTGAGCAAATTCTTTGGCCCCTGAATCGCCAATTTCGTTACCACCAAGATCCAGATGAATTAACGTACGATTTGATTGCAGTGACTTTGCAATTGCGGAGGCGCCAGAAGAGTTGATCTTATTACTCCCCAATCCTAAATGTGTAAGAGAACTGTTAACGCAAAGAGCTTCTGAGATGGAGGTGGCACCCGAGGAGCTGATTTTGTTCAAACTTAGATCTAACCAGGTTAATTTACTGCCCCTCGACTGTAGTGCCTTTGCGATGGCTGATGCGCCTGAATCACCAATATCGTGGTTACATTCTAGATTCAAATGGGTCAAAGTACGATTTGACTGTAGCCCCTTTCCGAGGGCTTCTGATCCTATTTCCCCTATTTTGTTGTCTTTGAGGTATAATTCCTTCAAAGTTGTGTTTGTTCGAAGAGCTTCGCCAAGTGCTGCTGCTCCAGAGTCGCCGATGTTATTATACTGAAGATCTAAATAAGTCAATGTACAGTTGAATCGAAGAGCTTTTGCAAGGGCTGATCCTCCTTCAGGTCCAATCATTTCAACATGCACGTTAGCAGATTCCGGGAAAGGTGTATTTTTTTCAATGCAGTCAAACCATTGACACAGATTCAAGTACTTTAAGGTACAGTTAGATTCCAAAGCTTTCGACAGCGCCACGGCAAATGAATCGCCGCCAAGATTTTGACTCAAATCTAAATATGTTAGCACAGAATTAAACTTCAGAGTTGCCGCTAGAGCAAAGGCTCCAGCAACACTGATCCAATTTTCTGGAAGACTCAAATGTGTCAATTTGCTGTTCGACTGAAGAGCGTCACTGAGTAAAATGGCTCCAACGTCATAGATCATGGCGTGACGTAGATTAAGATGTGTCAAAGCTTGATTTATTTGAAGGAAATCCGCGAGTACTTGAGCTCCTCCATCGCAGATCCAGACTCTGTCTAGATTCAGATGTGTTAAAACACGACCTGACTGAAGGACCTCTGAGAGCAGTGCTTTGGTACCGACCAACTGGTTCCACTGAAGACGTTTACTCAGATTTGAGAAAGCCTTTTCTTGTTCAGAAGAAGCAAATAATACACTAATAAAAGAATCAAAAACCCATGTCGAGTTTAGAAACGTAAAATGCACCAAATTTTGCTTAGAATGAAAAACATGTTCAATTGTTTTTAACAGGATCAGGTCAAACGCACTATGCAAAGTCAAATCTGTCAAACTGTAATTCAGTCTTAGATACTCAGAGTACACGGAGCAAGTTGTGCTAGCACTTAGTGTAAGATCCAATTTTTTAATTGGAAAGCAGCGGGCAAGCACACGCACAACTTCCTTTTGGTAATCCTTCAATTCATCATCACCATCTTCGCACTCAGCAATAAGATCAAGGGTTTTTTTGAGGACGTTGCATAGCGTTCCTTCATCCTTGTTCATTTTTCTCAAATACTTAGCCCAGTCATACGGACTGTCCTTGAAGATTTCGCGTCGATCCAAATCAGCATCGTCGCGATTCACGTCCATTAAACTTAAAGGCCTCTTGTGACAAAAGAAAGCACAAAGGCGAGAGACAACAGTTACTGCCGCTTTAACACTCTTGCTTAACACTATTGTGATGAGAAATTCCCACACCTGCCAATTATCAATAGGACTGAGTTCATCCAACAATCTCTCTTTCCCTTTGTCACCAGACAACAGCTGATGGGCCAAGAAAAACGCCGCAAAGTATTCTTGAAATGTTTTGTGAGTAAATGCGTAGGTCGGTGTTGGTCTGACTTTGCTCACACTTGGCTCACGGGAAAGAAACGGCAACCGTAGGAAATCTGTATTAGCGAAACGGGATTTCACCTCATCTTGAATGAAATATAACTGATTCTTAAGCAAAGCATCCAATGCCATCTTCCCCAACTGATTCAGCTCACTTGCACATCGCTCCATCGGATCTTGGTCACCCAAAGAAATACCCCTTTTTGCAAAATACCTTCTGAGAGCGCAAGACACAAGCTCATCGTACATCATGGTTCTTTTTGAAGGAAACACTCCTCTTGTTTCTTCACAGAGAAGACACAACAAAGCTGTATTAAGGGGGTTCGCCGTTAATTGTGCGAGTTGTTTGTCGCGTCTTAAATGTTTTATCATTTTGTCAGCAAGGCTTTGATCCTCATGACTGCTGAAATACTTGTTAATGTAACTTTCGACGTCATCTTCTAAGTAACCAACAAGTTCAAGAAGCGTGTCACAATAACGCCTTAATCTCATCCCTGCTTCATGTCGAGCTGTTAACATGAGGTTCACATTGGAAAAGACTTTGCCTTGAATCAAAGGCAGAAAACCCTCCAGTAGGTCTTCACGCAGTTCGTCTAAACCATCAAGAACCAGCAAGATTCTGGACTGATTAGTGCGAATAAAGTGGAACAAGTCTTCCTTTTCCTTCTTGTTTGCATCATGCGGTATAAGCTGATCATCAATAGCTTCCTCGATGTTAGCGGTTTTCATGTGCATGTCACGGCATTTCAACAGCAGCAATATATTCACGTCCGGAAACGAAGCATCAGGTGGAATTTCCCCCACGGACCAATCATGAGCCAGCTTTTGACAATAAGTGGTTTTGCCCATCCCAGGATTCCCCTCGATCAGCACCACTCTTGGATTGCTACATTCTGGATGTGACTTAAATACTTCCGTCATATTGACGGCTTGACCCGTAAGTTGTGAACGTTCCTTTTTTCTACTAACTATCTGTAGTCTTGTAAAGATGTTCGATAGCTTCAGCTGTAGTTCATCTTCACACCATGGAAAGGGACACAGAACCGCGCCTTTGTAGTCTCGTCTGATAAGTTCGACAAGTTTACCTGGATTGACTAATGAGGGAAAACAGAAATGAGGCATATAATTTCACCCACGTTTAAAATAAAATACATTTGAACACTGGATAAAAAAGAGCACATTTCGACGAACGTTCACGCGCGCGTTGGACTCCTCGTTATTTACTTAGCGGTTTTCATTTCAACGGTCTCAGTCGCTGCAAATAAACTATTCGTACCACTACATTTTGTCTGAGACGGCGTGGTCGAGTGGCATGGTCGAGTAGTTAGGGCGCTGGACTTGTAAATCGGAGGCCCTGAGTTCAATTCCCGCCCTGACCGCTAACTGGATTTGTTCTTGGCAGTCCCGAGTTCAAATCCTCAGCCACGTTTGTAAATAGCCAGCTTGTTTGCCCTCTACCGGTTGGGATTTTTAACAATGTTATGTTTCATTTAATTTGTTCCCACAAGGGGAGAGGATAATTAAAGTATTATTATTATTATTATGATTGTTATTGTTATTGTTATTATTATTATTATTTGTCAATTCTCTGTCAAAGCATTGTCTGTCTGAAAAACTATCTACCGCAGGAAAGTATGATGTCTGATTATAGTAAAATGTAGAGAGAAAATGTACTGTGGATCTTCCTTTGATGATTTCCTTCGGCAATTATACCAGTGCAAGGCAATTTGATTTTTCTCTCGATCATTTCTTGTCACAAATAAAATTTCACTCTAAATCAGCTATATTTATTATTAATGACAAACCTACCGTCAGATGTCATCAGTAGGTCTTTATCGTGAAGAGAAGCTCTTGTCAAAGCAGATTCTTTAGCTGTCGGGCCGTGAAACTTTGCTGCAATTGAGAAAGAGAGGAGAAAGGAGAAACTTGAATTAAAAAGGAATTTTTTCTTGTACAAAACAATATCCTTCTTTTGACTTAGTCAAGCCAAATCAATTATTGTTTAAACTCACACAGAATATTAATTAATACAAATCAGTGCTTTTCAATGTAAAAAATAAAAGCTTGTGAAGGAAAAGAAAATTTTCAATTTTAGGTTAATTGTGCAGCGTTTGGGACACCTAAATAGTTGGTGAGTAGGTGACGCAAACAAGAATATGAGTAGAAGGAATACAGAAGAAACTTAGAATAAATGAAACTAATCATTTATGTATATTACAGGTATGTAAGCTGCGGATGATGATATGAAAGTGAATGTGATCCTCTTAGTTCAGTTGGGAGAGCGCCGGTCTACCGAGCGGGAGGACGGGGCTTCAAATCTACCTGGCCGGACCAACAACCAGGGTCTTAAAAAAACTGGTAAGATCATGCTGGCTGTGATTTGAGATCTTGTCTCAGTTAAGATGATCGCGTCATTGGGCGGTGACGTTAAGCCGTTGTCCTTGTCTCCTTGGTCCTTCGTCCTTCGTTGATTAGCCAAATCGAAGGGCACGCAAAAAAATTTCTAACACTAGTGTTTGAAAAGAGTGAGAAACATTTCGATGGGGGTGTAGATTAGATCATTCATGTCATGGGCTGGGTGGTTTACAATTAGCTCATAGCTGATAGCAACTGCCAGTGGTGCCTTTGTATGCTGACGCCCATCCTTACTCTTAATATGTTAACATATGTAAAGAGGACATGTGTGCTGTCCTCCCATCTCATCCACGGTGTTTCCTTCCACGACCACTAGACTAAGACTTTATGGACTTAAGAGAGGCAGCGCCAGCTAGAGAGTCAGTAGGCTGATTTAGCATCAGGACGGCAACGGTCAGTTGGTAATGGGTTCATGATAACCGTCACGAATATAGGGACATTCCATGACCACTTTGCCCACTATGAGAAAGTTAATGTTTGGTGTAGTTGGTGTAGTTAGAGTAGTTGGTGTCGTTGCTATAGCTGGTGTAGTTAGTGTAGTTGGTGTAGTTTGTGTAGTTGGTGTAGTTAGTGCAGTTGGCGTAGTTAGTCTAGTTGGTGTAGTTAGTGTAGTTGGTGTAGTATGTGTAGTTGGTGTAGTATGTGTAGTTGGTGTAGTTAGTGTAGTTGGTATAGTATGTGTAGTTGGTGTAGTTAGTGTAGTTGGTGTAGTTACTGAAGTTGGTGTAGTATGTGTAGTTGGTGTAGTTAGTGTAGTTGGTGTAGTTTATGTAGTTGGTGTAGTATGTGTAGTTGGTGTAGTATATGTAGTTGGTGTAGTATATGTAGTTGGTGTAGTTTGGTGTAGTAGGTGTAGTTTGGTGTAGGTTGGTGTAGTTTTATGTAGTTGGTGTAGTTTGGTGTAGTAGGTGTAATTTGGTGTAGNGTGTAGTTGGTATAGTATGTGTAGTTGGTGTAGTTAGTGTAGTTGGTGTAGTTACTGAAGTTGGTGTAGTATGTGTAGTTGGTGTAGTTAGTGTAGTTGGTGTAGTTTATGTAGTTGGTGTAGTATGTGTAGTTGGTGTAGTATATGTAGTTGGTGTAGTATATGTAGTTGGTGTAGTTTGGTGTAGTAGGTGTAGTTTGGTGTAGGTTGGTGTAGTTTTATGTAGTTGGTGTAGTTTGGTGTAGTAGGTGTAATTTGGTGTAGTTTGGTGTACTAGGTGTAGTTTGGTGTAGGTTGGTGTAGTTGCTGTAGTTGGTGTAGTTAGTGTAATTGGTGTAGTTACTGTAGTTGGTGTAGTATGTGTAGTAGCTGTAGTTGGTGTAGTATATGTGTAGTTGGTGTGGTATATGTAGTTGGTGTAGTTAGTGTAGTTAGTGTAGTGTGTGTAGTTAGTGTAGTTGGTGTAGTATATGTAGTTGGTGTAGTATGTGTAGTTGATGTAGTAAATGTAGTTAGTGTAGTTCCTGTAGTTGCTGTAGTATGTGTAGATGGTGTAGTATATGTAGTTTAGTGTAGTTTTGTGTAGTTGGTGTAGTTTGGTGTAGTTTGGTGTAGTAGTGTAGTTTGGTGTAGGGTGGTGTAGTTTTGTGTAGTTGGTGTAGTTTGGTGTACGTTGGTGTAGTTTTGTGTAGTTTGGTGTAGTTCGGTGTAGTTTGGTGTAGTAGGTGTATTTTGGTGTAGTTTGGTGTAGTTTTGTG